CCCCCCCGCCCTCGCCTCCCCCGTCTCTGGGATGCCAGCAGGCATCCTACCAAGAGCACTACCTGAGTCTCCAGCTAACAGACTTCAGGTGCCCTGATTTCCCACTTCCTTTCTCCTGGTGGAGAAGCAGAGTCAGGCTGCAGACTCCTCGGAGACCCCATCCCTCTCCGTGCTGTCTGATACCTTTAATAAACTTGCCACGGTGACAGTCAGCCTCAGAATCCCCCGTGAGCCCCACTCCCAAGACCTTTCAGTCTCTTAAGGAAAGATTCTCCGCCTGCCAGGGATGTTACATATAAAATACGTACATGGGATCTTATGAAAGAGGCCCCTACCACAGCCCTATATGAACTGCGGTGCCTCCCTGCATCAGTATGGTGAGGCCTCCCGTCCCTGGCGGTTCTCACAGCGGGAGTTCTGCTCCCCCCAACCCGGCGCCATGCTCTACAGTTCTCTGAGGGGAGGGATGGACTTCACTGAACAGCGATTCACCCTCACAGAAGCCGCTGGCCTGAGCAGGCCCGCCTAGGGCAAGGCAAGCTGGAGAGGCTCCTTCCGGGCTCCCATGGTTCCGTGGAAGAATGCTCACAGCTTAGCGCTTTGGGTGACTGAAGTGGCTGTTGCTCCTTTAGCGCCTGGCTTCAGGTTTCCTGTTCTGAGCGCAGCTTTTCATGTGCTTTTCAATGACGACCTTTGCAGCAAGCACTGCTGCCCTCCATGCCTCCCCCTTAACTAGCAAATAAAGATCGGTGGTGCAGCTTCCCGTGGTGGTGGTGGGGGGGGTCTTTTGTACAGTGTTTGCCGGTCACGAAGGAAGCCCAGGGTTCAGTCCTAGCCCCACATAAACCAGATATAGTGGAGCATACCGGTAATCTTGGCACTCTGGAAGTAAAAGCAGGGGGATCAGAGCTTTGAAACCAGCCTGGGATACCTGAGATCCTGTCTCAAAAGAAGGCAGCTGTCTCCCAAACCACAGGGGACATTCAAGCAAGAATGTTCGCCTTTAAAAATATAAGTGTTATCTGTCTCAAAAATGGCCAGACAATGGTGCCACACGCCTTTAATCCCAGCAACTCTGGAGGCTGAGACAGGCAGATCTCTGAGTTCTGGGACAGCCTGATCTACCAAGTGAGGTCCAGAACAGCCAGGACTACACAGAGACACCCTGTCTCAAACAAACAAACAAAGGTGTGTGCCACCACTGCTTGGCCCTGTTTCTAGTGTGGCCTTGAACTCACAGAGATCCAGACAGATCTTTGCCTTCCGAGTGATAGGATTAAAGGTGTGTGCCACCACTGCCTGGCCCTGTTTCTAGTGTGGCCTTGAACTCACAGAGATCCAGACGGATCTCTGCCTTCCGAGTACGCCACCACTGTCTGACCTCTATGTCTAATCTACTGGCGGGCTCTGTCCTCTGACCCTCAGGCAAGCTTTATTGGGGTACACAATAGATCACCACAACAAACACAAATAAATAAAGTGCTGACCAGTTTTCTTCTTGGTAAGGACATGTCATGACCTAAAGGGTGATTTTCCTTTCCCTATGGGAGCTTTAGTTAGAATCTGGGTTCATGTGGAAGAGACAGCATGCAGGGAAGTGACGTGGATATGAAGGGGTGCTGTCTCCACAGAGATGAGTGCTCCAGAACCCCCCCCCCCCGCCCCGGGCTCTGCACCCTTTAACAGGAGGTACCTCAGTGCTCCTAAGGAGCCAGGCTCCCCGGTGACA